GCTTGAGCCATTCTATGTCAGAGCTTACAGGCCCAAAAATCCAAAGATATATTTTTTTGGTCTAAAAAGCTCTGTATGAACGCTTGTTTGGGAGACAATATCTTCTGTACCTTCTGACGGGCAGCTCATATAGGGTCTTCTTAATAACAGTTTTTGGTCTCATGGTTAGCTCGACATGCCTATCTCACCGGCTCGAAGCGTCATTAAGAATAGCTTATGCAATATAACTTCATGCACAAGATCTATGCCTCTCAGAAAACATTCGATAGTTTTGGCACAAAATCTCTCTGTTTGTTGCTTGGGACGTCATTTTGAGACCATAACATTTCATCTATTGACTTGTAGAAAGCATTGAAATCAAGCTTGGGCCATTCCATGATGGAGCTTTCGGGTCCAAAAATCCAAAGGTATATACCCTTTTGGTTTAAGAAGCCTTGTATGAAAGCCCATTCAGGAGTTGATATCATCTATACGTCAGATGGGCAGCTCTTATAATATCTTTTAGGTGATAGTTTTGGGTGTCATGGTCAACCCGACATGCCTATCTCACATGCTTGGTGCGTCTTTAAGAATAGCATACGCAACATAATTCATGCAGAAATTCTGTGCCACTCCGAAAGCATTCAATAGTTTTGCCCAGTATCTCTTTGTCTATTGCTTTGTACGCCATTTTGAGACAGTAATATTTCACCTATTGACCTGTAGGAAGCATTAAAATCGAGCTCGGGCCATTCCATGTTGGGCTTCTAGGCCTAAAAATCCATAGGTGTACCACTTTAGTCTAAGAAGTTCTGTATGAAAGCCTATTTCGGAGATGATATCTTCTGTACTTCTGATTCGTAGCTCTTATAGGGTCTCCTAGGTGATAGTTTTTGGTCTCATGGTTAGCCTGAGATGTCTGTCTCCCCTGCTCGATGCGTCAATAAGAATAGCATATACAATATAAATTTATGCGCAAAATTCATGCCTCTCCGAAAGCATTCGCAAGTTTTTGCCCAATATCTTTCTATTTGTTGCTTCTCATGCCTTTTTGAGGCCACAATATTTCAATTGTTGACTAGTAGGAAGCATTGAAATCAAGCTCCAATCGTTCCATGCCGGAGCTTCCGGGCACAAAAATACAAAGGTATACCCCTTTGGTAAAAAAAGTCTTGTATGAAGGCATGTTCCAAAGTTGATATCATCTATACATCTAACAGACAGCTCCTATGGAATCTTCTAAAAAATAGTTTTGGATCTCATGTCAGCCCGACATACCTATCACGCCTGCTCGATTCGTCATTAAGAATAGCATACGCAATATAAATTCATGCCACCATTTTTAGGCAATAATATTTCATCTATTAGCCTATAGGAAGAATTAAAATTAAGCTCGAGTCATTCCGTATCAAAGTTTTCGAGCCTAAAAATCTAAAAGTACCCTTTTCATCGAAGAAGCCAGGTATGAAGGCCTATTTCAGAGCTGATATCTTCAGTACGTCTAACTGATAGCTCAAATAGGGTCTTCTAGGTGATATTTTTGGGTCTATTGGCCAGCCTAACATGCCTGTCTCACCTGCTCGATGCGTCGTTAAGAATTGCATAAGCAATATAAATTCATGCGCAAAATTCGTGCTACTCTGGAAGTATTTGAGAGTTTTTTCTTAATCTCTCTGTCTTGCTTCTAATGCTACTTGAGACCATAATATTTCAACTATTGACCTGTAGGAAGCATTGAAATAAAGCTCTGACCATTCCAAGCTAGAGCTTCCGAGCGAAAAATCCAAAGGTATATACCTTTGGTCAAAGAAGCCATGTATGAAGGCCAATTTCGGAGATGATATCTTCATTATGTCTACTGGGCAGCTCATATAGGGTCTTTTAAGGAATAATTTTTGGGTCTCGTGGTCAACCCAATATGCCTCTCTTGGCTGCTCGATGCGTCATTAAGAATAGCATGCGCAATATAAATTCATGCACAAAATCCTTGCCACTTAGGAAGCATTAGACAGTTTTTGCCCAATATCTCTTAGTTTGTTGGTTCGCATGCAATTTTGAGACCATAATATTTAATCATTAGCCTATAGAAAGCACTGAAACAAAGCTTGGGCCATTCCATGCTGGAGCTTTTGAGCTAAAATTCCAAAGGTATATATCCCTTTGGTCTAAGAAGCCCTATATAAAGGCCTATTCTAGAGCCGATATCTTTTGTACTTCTGATGGCAGCTCTTGTAAGGTCTTCTAGACAATAGTTTTCAGTCTCGTGGTCAGCCCAACATGCCTATCTCGCATGCTTGATGTGTCATTAAGAATAGCATACACAATATAAATTCAAGCACAAAATATGCTACTTCGAAAGCATTCGACAGTTTTTGTCTAATATCTCTCTGTCTGCTTCACATGCCATTTTGAGACTAAAATATTTAATCTATAGACCTCTAAGAAGCATTGAAATTAAGCTCAAGCCATTTCATGTTGGAGCTTTTGGAGCCTTTGGTCTAAAAAGCCTGTATGAAGGCCTAGTCTAGAACCGATATCTTCTGTACGTCTGACGAGCAACTTATATAAGCTCTTCTAGGGGATAGATTCGCGTCTCATGGTCAGCCCAACATGCCTATCTCGCATGCTTGAAGCATCATTAAGAATCATATATGCAATATAAATTCATCGCAAAATCATCCCACTCCGTTAGCATTTGACAGTTTTTGCCTAATATATTAGTGTTTATTGGTTCACATGCCATTTTAGGACCATAATATTTCATCTATTGGCCTATATGAAGCATGAAATCATTTTCGAGCATTCCATGTTGGAACTTCTGAGCCAAAAATCTAAAGGTATAACCCTTTGGTCTAAGAAGCCCTGTGTGAAGGCTTGTTCCTGAGCTGATATCTTCTATATGTTTGATGAGCAACTCCTATAGGGTCTCCTAGGCGATAGCCATGCCTATCTTACCTGCTCGATGTATCATTAAGAATAACATACACCAGATAAATTCATGCTCAAAATCCGTGTAACTTTGGAAGCATTCAACAGTTTTTGCCCAATGTCTCTCTATCTGTTGCCCACGCCATTTTGGGACCATAATATTTAATCTATTGACCTGTATAAAGCATTGAAATCAAGCTCAGTCCATTCCATCTTAGAGCTTTCGGGCTCAAAAACCAAAGATATCTTTTGGTTTGTGAAGGCTTTTTCCGGAGCTGATATCTTTTGTACATTTGATGAGCAGCTTGTATAGGGTGTTCTAGGCAATAGATTGGGGCTCGTGGTCAAGCTGACATGCCTATCTCGCTTGCTCGATGCGTCTTTAAGAATAGCATACGCAATATGAATTCATGCGCAAAATTTGTGCCACTCCAGAAGCATTCGACAATTTTGGCTCAATATCTCTCTGTCTCTTGCTTGGCATGTCATTTTGTAACCATAATATTTTACCTATTGACCTATAAGAAGCATTGAAATCAAGCTTAGACCATTCCATGCCGTAGCATTCAGACTAAAGAAAATCCAAAAGTATACCATTTTGGTCTAAGAAGCTCTATATGAAGACCTTTTCCGGAGCGTATATCTTCTGTACGTCTGACGGGTAGCTCGTATAGGGTCCTATAGGCAATAGTTTAGGGTGGGTTTGATAGTTAGTCCGATATGTCTATCTCGCCTGCTTAATGTGTCATTAAGAATTGCTTACGCAATATAAATTCATGCACAAAATCCATAACACTTCGGAAGCATTCGACAGTTTTAGCCAATATCTCTCTATATGTTGGTTCGCACGCTATTTTGATGCCATAATATTTTATCTAGACCCGTAGCAAGCATTGAAATCAAGCTCGGACTAGGTATGGCCACCGGTTCTGTTCGAACCGGAACCGAACCGTACTGTAGACGAATCGGAACTGGATCGAAACTGGCGGTTCAAAGACCGGTTAAGGTTCATGTGAATGTTAAAATATGAACCCGAACCGGCAGTTTCGGTCCGGTTCAAACCAAAAATTTCTATTTTTATTTTCAAAATGATAATCACTTAGCCTATTTTATACATCTCTAAAAGTCTCAATAATATTATACTACATGATATACTTTGAATCGGAACTGGATCGAAAACTGGCGGTTCAAAAGGACCGGTTAAGGTTCATGTGAATGTTAAAATATGAAAACCCGAACCGGCAGTTTTCGGGTCCCCGGTTCCAACACCAAAACATTTTCTTATTTTTTATATTCACAAAGTGATAATCACTTAGCCTATTGTTATACATCCTTTCCTAAAAGTCTCAAATAATATTATACTTACATTTGATATACTTCTAACTTAAAGAAAATTTTTTTTTTAAATCACACTTTCCCTTTAAAAGTTAAAAAATCTGAAAAAAGGTTAAAATTGGTAAAAAAAAAGAGAAATATTTAGTCTAAAACTTTATATTATTTTTCAACTTTTTTTTTTTACCCTTTAATTTTTTTGCTAAGGTTTAAAATTACATTCTTTTTTTGAAGCATTTTCAAACATTTTCTTATACTTTATTAATAATAACATGTTAAAACAAAATAAAGTTGATAATTTATGTTGTTAAAATTAATTAATTTTATTCTTATATGAGTATAGACATTCTAAAATATACTTAAAATAAAATTTAATTAATTTTTTTAAACTCATATTAATATGCTATGAAGGAAAGATGTAACATTAAAAACGATTTTTTAATATATATAGTATATATATACTATATATAAGACGTCGAAAGCATGGAAACGGTAATATATATATATATATATATATATAGACGTCGGAAGCCATGAACGGAACCGTCGATCTATCGAAATCGCGCCGGAATCGGTCGGAACCAGAACTGGACCGAAATCGACATTCAAAAACCGATTCAAGTTCAATATTTTAAAAAATTTAAACTGTTGATTCCGTGAACCGAAACCGACGGTTCAATGAACCGCCGTGTCTGGCTCGGACCATTTCATGCCGGAACTTCCGTGCGAAAAATCCCAAAATAAACCCCTTTGGTCTAAAAAGCTGCGTAGCTGCGTATGAATATATGTTCCAGAGTCAATATCTTCCAGGCGGTAGTATCTGGGTTGCTCGATGTGTAATTAAGAACAGCATACGTGATATAGATTCATCCTAATATATGCAACTCTTAAATGTTAAAACATAAAAATAGAAAATTCGAAAAAAGTTGAATTATCCTTAACTAATCAACCAATTAGGACCAAGGCTGAATTCGAGACAAGTGAAGGAAGAGCATGGCTGAACCGGAATTAGAGGAAAGGGAAGATATTGAGATGATCAAAATGGGATCTTATGGAGGGGAAGTGAGGCTGTTGAGTGACGGCGAAGACTCTGCAGCGGAGGAGATAATGTTACTTTGGGGAATCCAACAGCCCACTCTTTCCAAACCCAACTCTTTCGTCTCTCAATCCTCTCTTCAACTTAGCCTCGACGCCTGTGGCCATTTCCTCTCCATTCTTCAGTCACCTTCTTCCTTGGTAATGTCTCTTTCATCGACTTATGACCTAAAATAACTAATTGGTTTGGAAGATAATCTTAATGGGTACAAGATTTTATGCAAATTGCACAAACTTTTGTTTAATCACCTGAAATTGCTTTTTACGTGTTAAAACATTTGAAACTGTCATCAATATTTTCTACATCGTTGTTGCACTTATTGCTTAATTATTGCTCTTACAATTGCAGGGGATGCCTGGAGTAACTGGTTCGGTAATGTGGGATAGTGGAGTAATATTGGGGAAGTTCTTGGAGCATGCTGTGGATTCCAAGATGCTCGTTCTTCAGGGAAAGAAGGTTGTCGAGTTAGGTTCTGGCTGCGGATTGGTAGGGTAAAGATTAACTCATCTTAATTTCTCACTTTAGTTTTCAAGTATGTGGTATGATTTCTATTAGTATTTCTTGGAATAGTTGTTGCATAGATGAAAAATGAAAATATATGTTGTCGAAACTCATTTGGAAAGCTCTATCTTTAAGGCCATTTGTCCTGATTTCATGTAAACAAACCCATTAAAATTCTTTGGTTAATTTATGTACCAATGCCTAACTTAAATGTCGTTATAATCCTAGTTTATTAGTTAGTTGAGGGGTATTGCAAGGTTCCCTTTTCCCACTTGAATTTGTTCCTTCATATTTTTGGTTTCCAGCTGCATTGCAGCGCTCTTGGGTGCTCAAGTTACGCTCACTGATCTTCCCGATAGATTGAGGCTACTGAAGAAGAATATTGAAGCCAATCTAGGACATGGAGATGTGCGGGGCTCTGCAGTAGTGAAAGAGCTTATTTGGGGAAATGAGCCTGACCAAGATTTGATGGAACCCTTACCAGATTACAGTAAGCATGTTTTTCTATCTGTATATAACAAGCAACACATACTTTAAAATGCAAGGCGCTTCTCTCAAATCACTAAATGTCACCAAAAGAATGCTGAATACCCACCCCTATAGATTAAAAAAAATATATATCTTATTTTTACTGCTCGGGTGGGCTGTATATGTGGTGGGTTCTCATATGGCATTTAGCCTCCCCATTTGCTAGCAAAGGCAATTGGATGTTTTAATGTTTTCATATGGCATTTAGCCTCTCCATTTGCTAGCATAGGCAATTGGAGACTTCATTAAATGTCCCATTAGTGAAAAGATTAACTAAGATATTGATATTGAGATTATAAAATGAAAGAAATAAAAGGTAAACAATACTTTCACTACAAAGTGTTTATAGGGGGCTTCAACCTTACTTCGTCATTTTACAAGTCGTCCTGTAGTTATGGACGTAGAAGCATTGGTAGATAGTCAATTTAGAGTCACTAGAAGGCGGTGCTTTACAAAATTTGGTGTCTGAAAGCATTTTAAGTAGCTCCATTAGAAGGTAGAATGCATAACATTATGTTTGGTGGCTTTTAGGTCCCAAGTGAAGCCTTCCAAATCGATGAGTGATGGTTTTTTTTTTTTTTTTCCTGAAATGAAGAAGGGAGGTTAAACATTTACTTTCACTACACAAAGTGTGTTCTTTTATTTAGGGGGTTACCTATACATTCGGTCATTTTACACACGTCGGTCCTGGTTAGTTATGGACCGTTAGGAGGAGATAATGGCAAGTAGCGAGGGATAGTCGCGAAGAGTAAATAGAGTCACATCGTAGAATATGATTGGTGCGGTTACAAAATTTGGAATTGTCGTATGTAAATTGCACTTTTTTTTTTTTTTTTTTCTAAGAAGTTAGCTCCAGTGGTGTTAGAAGAGGTAGGGTTTAGGGAAGAATGTGCTGGTTGTGGTTTTTATGTTTGGTTTTGGCTTCTTCAGGTCCCCAAGGATGACGTCCCAAATCAGATGAGTCGGATGGTTTTTTTTTTTTTTCCTTATACTTTACATAGGCCAATGTGGCACCAATAATAGACTTATTTGTGATTACAATTGTGAAAAAAAGAAGAGAAAAAAAGAAAAACGTTATACAATAAAAAAAAATTTGGAATCGAAAAATCAGAATTATAAAATTGTAAGAGTTTCATTGTAATGACTCGGATTAAAAATTGGAAAAATGTGTGTATTGTGTCTTATAGACCATTATCTCTTTCGCTTAATGTTGAATGATTTCAAATTTCAATAGTGAAGTGAAAAAGAAGAATAATAAACTCATTTAAAACTGGCAAGTTGGTTTTTTTTTTTTTTTTCCTACTTTAACATAGGCACATGTCCCAAACTTATTGGATACAATTGAAAAAAACTAAAAAATTTGTGAATCAAAATATAAAATTAAAAGTATAAGATAAAATTGGAAATGTGTACAAAGTTTGGTGTCTTAGACCATTATCTCTTTCCTTAATGTGAATGATTCAATTTCATAGTGAAAGAAGATTAACTAAAACTGCAAGTAATTAATGCTTTAACACCTAAAGAAAGTATAATCTTCCAGTAATAATTGCCATGCTAATTCATTAGACATAGAACTTGAGAAATGGAAATGATTATAATGTGTAAAAGAACACGATCAGCAACTTAATTAAATTCAATTAAGCTTTAGTTCTTATTAACAGGTATTACTAAACTTGTGTGCTTGACGAGTAACTGGTGAATTGCTTGCATGATCATAATCATAGTGATTACAGAATAATGAGAAATTGATAATCAAGTTTGGCGAACAAATTAAGATAGTCATAATAGTCTTGAATAATAACATATACAATATCATTTAACAATGATATCAATGCTCATGGGAAGACTAGAACAAGTTTACATGATTACAAGGCATCCTTCATTTCTTGCCGCATTGTCTTGGGTTACATGAGCATCTCTTTTTCTATTGATTACTTGAGTATTAATTTTGAGACAGATTGTGTAGAAGCTTGATGCAAGAACCATTTTTCTGATTAATGAGGGCAAGATGGATCTGACTGTTTGTTTGGAAAACAAGTGGAGGGGGAAGATTGGAGAGAGATTTTACCTTTTCTCTTCTTGTTTAAGAGTGGATGCATAAATTCTTCTTGTACTCGTTAATCTAACTCCAACATTGCAGCATCCTCAAACTAGTCCAGTTAATGTCTAATATTTTTGCTGTTCCAGTTGTAGGGTCAGATGTGATCTATAGTGAAGGAGCTGTGATGGACTTGTTGGAGACATTAGTGCAACTATGTGGAATCCAAACAACAATATTTCTGGCTGGAGAACTTCGGAATGGTGAGGATCTCTTTTTCCTGTCTCCCTCATACTAAATTCAGTTTGTTATGCTTAGCTAGCTTTAAAACTTGTGCTGCAATGAAGGGTTTTCTGGTTGGCCTAGAAAAATTTGGAATTCTAGGCATCCCTTGTCCTTGTACTAATTTAAATATTCTAAATTCCTCTTCTTGGGGTAGATACTGTACTTGAATACTTCTTAGAGGCTGCAATGAAGGATTTTGTCATTGGCCGTGTGGAGCAGTCGCAGTGGCATCCAGATTATTGCAGCTGTCGAGTAGCATTGTATGTTTTGGTAAAGAAGTGAGTCAGGCAAATGAATCCATACATGGAAGCTTCTGGTCATGATATCTGCAAATATTATGTGGTGAGTTTTTGGCAAAATTGGTAGCAACAGAATAGTCAGTTTGTTTGCCTGAGTAGTGGCTACCACATATGCTTTTAGAGCTGGGAAATTTTGTGTGTTATATTTGGCATTTGAGATTTGATCTCATGCCGGCATAGTACTTTCTAGCATTTGGAGTATATGCAACGTATGAACATTTGTATTGTTTGGTTCATTTTAGAATTAGAATGGAAATGGTTTTAAATTGAAAGAATCATATTCCGTTTTATCTCCTTAATAATTAAATAGAGATCGTCAGTTGGATTAAGAATTACGTTTGCAAATTTTCAAAAAAAAGTGTTTATTTTGGTTTCTTGTGACCTTTAATTAGAGATGTAATTCCATTCCAAATTGTAGAGCAAACCACATATGACCTTTAATTAGATGTAGTTCCAAGAATGCATGTTCTTGCCTTTGGTTCATTTCCTTTGAACGTTTGCTTCAACAATTACTCTTTTTCAAAGAAGATTCCTCGGACAAAGTCTCTTAGATTCTCTTCAAACCTGTATCTTGAGATGATTAGACATGATGTTTTAGAAAGTTCAGGAAATTTGTGAGTTTTGAGGTCGCTGCAATGGTGGAGTTAGATTAAAGGATTTGAGAACTGCTTCAAACCAGGAAAGTGAATCAAATTGTACAGTTAGAATTTCTTGCTTGACCAAAAGAAGCATATACATGGAAAAATGGGGGTGAAAGATAACAAGAAATAGGAAGAATGGACAATGTTATAACCAATGTTACAGCTAGATTTGCTGTAACTGTTTGGTGAGAAAGAAAGTGCAAGAAAGAAAAATAGATAGGAACAAAGAGAGGGAGCCATCAGTTATCATTCGTCAACTAATGTAGATTACGAGGCTGACTATATGAATATGAGTAGTCAGAAGTGTGCCTATTCTAATTATAATTTTCCACATAGCAGCTGTGCCTTTGAAACGAAGATAAATTCACATCTCAAACTGAAAAATCAACCAAAAAAAACAGACCAAATGTCAAATATAAGTACTTATCCATTTTAGCAAATGAAAAATTTATTTAACATCAGTAACAATCAATTCCCACACAGTATTTTGCTTATACAATAAAGCCTGAGCAAACGCTTTCAAAGGGTTATTTATTTCCTCGATCACGAGACTAGAAAAGTTCAGGGATGTGCTCTCCATGAGAAATTAGAGGTAAATTAGCCACCATTAACAAAAATTGAAGCATTTTGAAGTTCAAATAAAGAACCTGATAACATTCACCCTCATGTCTCATTGAAGAACAAAGAACTATTTTGGCATGTGAATGACACAGCGTAAACACTTCCCTTCCTTCATAAGATTGAATGCCTTGTTGATATCTTCAAATTGCAGATTGTGTGTGATGAGCTCATCAATTTGAATTTCCTATATATGTTTAGATTTGAGAAATACTTGGTATATGTTAGTATGATGGAGACAGCCCAAATGCTTTTCTTTAAACTATAAAGTATGAGGTAAATAAAATTTAAAGTAACTCAATTTCGAAATTCAAAGGCTAAACAACAATATGATATAATAAGTTGGTCAATTGATATGATGCACTGTAGAAAACAACAGAAGCAGTCACACTAAGAAACGATCACAAGAATATGTGATGCCTTACCTTTTTCAGATACATGTCTACTAATGAAGGAAGATGTGATTTAGGTTTCCATCCTCCAAACAGAGATCCTTTTAATGTTCTTCCACTGAGAAGCAGTCCATAGTGAGCAGATATTTCAGGTTTCACTTTAGGTACACCAAGAGTAACTGTTAATCCCCACCCCTAACAGGCACAAGAAAAAACAAAAAAATTCAAATCAACCAAAACAACTACCAGCTTTTTACAAATAAAAAACCTTCAGTATTTAATGAAAAGCAATTACATCACAGCAAGATTGTAATGCTGTAGTAACCATTCCAGTATCACCAATACATTCAAAAGAGTAATCTGCCCCTCCATTGGTAATAGACTTGACAACCTGAAAATTCAACACCACCAAAACAAATGAAAATTCAGATAATAGGATGATGCGGAACATATACCTCCCATAGGCATAGCCTGGATGAGTCTTAATCTTGAGCAAAGTCACATTTGCGGATTATTATTCCTTGAAGCATCTAATAGTAAAAAATGTAAGCAAGCAAATTATGTAACTTTTCAGGCTTGTTGATCAATTTCCTATTATATTCTCTATAAAAGGTTCTGGCCTCCATAAGCATATTTGGTTTTAATTTAACTAAAATATCTCTTAGGGTGAGAACTTGGGATTCTACATAACTTGAAGGTTGCTTCTGATGTTCCCATTTTCCCTTTGCTTGTGCCAAAGACATCATGTTGGTAAATAGTTTCCCCAAAATATTGATATCTATCATCACCTCAACCAGTCCCCTGGCTGCATTAATATTTGCTTTTCCTTCCAAACATTTCCAATTTTCTAATTGTGCTATCTTTCAACTGCCCCTTACATCAATCTAAATGTATATTATAATGCAATAGATGTACAATTTCCCGATTGCTAGTATTTAGTGAAATGATACCTGTTGAATAGGCTCATTACTGTCATTTGGGTTGATAAATTGTGTTACTCCAAAAGCCTTTGCTGCACCAATAAGCGCTATGTCAACAGGATCCAGAGGCACTATACTGCCTTTTAACATAAATTTGAAGTGCAAATGTAAATCATACCTTTCTCACGCTTCTCAGGGTTAGTATCAATACCAATTATTTGAGATGCCCCTCTAAGTTTAGCACCTTGAGCAACCTAATCTCAAAATACTTAACAAATCAAAATTATGATAATGTAGTTAACTGCAAATGATTTTCAGAAACAGGTCCTGGCAAAGTTGACACTAAATCCTATACTTACAGAAAGGCCTACAGTTCCAAGACCAAAAATGACAACAGTTGAACCTTCAGATATATTAGCAACATTCCAAGCTGCACCCAAACCTAAAATAGAACCTCAGTTGTCGTTAATCTGAAAAAACATTACATGCTTAATTCTACATAATAGAACTGATGCACACTTTATTATCTCAACTTTTTAATATGAAGAAATATCATCATAAAAATACACGTTTTTGTAGTAATAGATAATTTCTCTCTGTGCTAACACAATCAATTCCTAACAATGTGTGTATGTGTATTAAATCCAGATTGACTTCATTATTATAAGATTTTAACTCTGAATACCTGCAGCTACTCCACAACTCAGAAGGCATATTCTCTCCAAAGGTGCAGCTGGGCTAACTTTTACAGCACACCCAGTGTGCACCACTGTATATTCACTGAAACTTGAAACAGCACAATAATGATAAATGGGCTTCCCTTTACTTGAGAAGCGGGTCCTCTGATCACTATGCATTACACCTTTCCTTTCCAGACCTAGTACTTGGCACATGTTGCTTTTACCAGATATGCACTGTCTGCAAGTCCTGCATTCTCCTGTGAATACTGTGAGCACATGGTCGCCCTCTTCAAACTCAGTTACTCCCTCTCCAACACACTCAACAATCCTGCAAATTTCAATAATAAAAACTTCACTCAAATAATTGTCCTCACTACAGACGCAGTTATCTTTCTTTACATATTACTAACATCTATATCAGTCCTAACCAGAGCTATAAGTTTGGTGCCTCTCTTTTTGACATAAAATAAAGTTACCATGTAAGCTCTCAAACATGGTAGATGTTTCTAAACTAAGATAGTTATGCTCTTCGAGATATAAATACTTCACTTTTGGATTGGCTCTACAATATTGACCCACATTTATAATTCTAGCTCCAGCCTTGGTCACATCAAGCTCTAATAGGTGGAAACTCCTTGAAATTCTACACATACATCGAGTTTCAAATGGACTTTAAATAAATCTGTTAACATGGAGCAATTCTAGTTCCCATATGACTTTTTACTTGTGCACAGGCATGTAGAGCATCATTGACTAGATTAGAAAAGGGAAAGGTTAGAGGAGACCCTGATGCTTCATGACCAAATATCCGAGGAAAAATAGCCTGCATATAGAAGTATGTTATATTTATTAATCTGTTGGTACAACTAAAAAGAAATAAGTATGATGTGAGTGTATGCACAATTTATTTCTTAACATTAATTAACAGGAATAGTTGGGAAGGATGGCAGTTTCCTTGTTTCACAGATTTTTAAAGTGCAAGATAAAAACTGTGTGATGCATTTTCCTCCAAATCAATGTCTTTTATGCCCTAACTTTCTACCATAGCTTGTAATGCAAAAAAAGAAAGCCTTCCAATCAGGATTGGGTGATATGGGACAGCAAATTTGGATTCACGATTGCATTACACTAAAATGAACCATATCTTTTGGATTAAATATATGTCATGTTAGAAATTTGGGAGATTGAGCATACGCCTTTTAGGTTTGGCCATCACCGACACTAATGTAAAAGGTTGTATATACAAATTACAAGTGGCATATTTAAAAATATTTCGTTGCAAGTTGGATCAGAGGTTTAGGTTTGTATTCCATTAACCCTTTTCTTCATGTAGCATCCAAACCGAATGACTCTATGAAATTACGTCGATACTTCCACATATTAGGGGTAACGTAGGAGGCATTTCTATTTTTCCCCTGGGGAAGCTTTAGAATTACCACTGCTTAGCTTTCAATTCGCCTCTAACATCAAATGAAATGTAACTAAGGCTTGTATTCCATTAACCCTTTTAATGAATCAACTTCAACATAGGGTTTTTTCAATTCCAATGCAACTAAGGCTTTTGGAGTAGAGTGATTGCTCTATGCCTCTATCGATTCTCTATTTGGTGGACATACACATCCATTACATGTTAGCTAAAAATGAACGATACACACACATATTAGATAGAGGAAGAAAAACAAAAACAAGAATTTTACATGGTTCGGCGAGTGTGCATATGTACACACAGTCACATTCTTTTCTTTAATACATTACGAAGATAAGTATTAAAAACCTCATTTATATGGATCTTGGGGATAAACTTAATATAAATAGGAACTACATAATCACCCCTATAATAAAAAAAAGCCCAAGACCTTGAGGGGCATTCTACCCCATGCTACGGAGCTCCTCTCATGCCAGTCTCCCTTGGAGAATAGTAAGTTCTTCTCCAACAAATATGAGCCATAAATCAACATTACAAAATAAAAGAAAAAACATTTTTAAATCACTCTAAATTGTACATGCTGCCAACTGCCAAGTGGGAGATGGTTGAAAACTGATTTTTGGTTAATCTAATTTTTATGGGCTTATATTGTTGATGAACATTCCTTAAGGTATGTGCTGCATTATGTATAAAACCAATCAAAAGAGCTATTACCCTTGTTTTCCTGGCCCATTAACAAATTGGAGTAAGGAGAAAAACGAGTCCACGTGAAGAGGGATGGTAGCAAATTCTTTGGTTTTTTAACAATTTTAGCTGACAGAGAAAGGAAAGTTGCCAGATGAAGTATTCAAGTATGCATGACGTGTGTCTCCCTATGAATCCATTTGTTCATTCTGTATGCTAATAGAATTGGATAGCCGTATTAGGCCTCTTTTTTTTTTTAACATGTATATGTGAGTGGACCTCCAATTAATTTCCACTGGTGTTGTGTTTGCAAAAAGTTGCTTATGCGGGAGAAAACTTGAATAAGCTAATTTTAATAATCTAATCAGTTTTCCCAATTTTCCTTCCTATCATCTATCCCCTAGTCTTAGGCTGGGCAGGTTCATTATCATTATCCAATTTGCAACTTATTAAAAAACAAGAAACAGACGCAACTAATCAAAATTAATAATCAAAAGACAATCAAAAACCAACAAAATAAAATCCGTCTTCAACTAAATTTGCAAAAAAATAGACAAAGAAATTATTAGAAAACAAGCAATTTTCTATAAGAAAAAGAAAAAGAAAAAGAAGAAGAAGAACCTGAGATTCCCAAGCAGAGAGATCGCTACGGCAGAGAGAAGTGGAGAAAACTTTGATCCTAATCTCTTGCGGCTGAGGTGGACTCACTTGTACTTCCTCCATCAGCAACGCCTGTCCAGGGCCCCAAGCCACCGCAGCTTTTGAAAGGAAGATTTTCCAGTTAACGTAATGTGATTAAAGCATGAAAAAAAAAAAAATCTAAAAAAACTACCTTTGCAGGCGATAACATTATGGACTGAAGAGGACGACGACGACGACGACGACGACGAAGACATTTGGAGTAGTAGGTTCTGTGGATAGGCAGAGAATTGGAGATGCTAATGCAAACAAGTATCATAGTAGTAGTAGAACTGTAGAAGTAGTAGGTAGATGGTTTGGTGTAATAAGAATGTACGTTGTCGGTTCGGTAAGACAGAAACCAACTCCATCTGGGGCCAGGCCAACAACCTCCTCATCGGTCAACTTTCGCTTTTCATTTATTTAAAAAAAAAAAAAAAAAGCCTAATGAACTTTCACATTTTTATGTTTTTTCATTTGACACCCTCTATTTCTGTGGGTTTTCAACTTATGTGCCAGTATCTTTCCCTTCTTAGCTTAAAGGCCCGCTTACGAACAAAAATACATAATCATAACAATTATCAACTTCCGATTGAAACGGAACTATAAAACCCGGAACCCGATTTTTTTTTTTTTTTTAAATCACGTTTTGAAAGAAAATCTTAGCCGCTTTTTCTCTCATTTTTTCTTTACTTCTCCGTTAAAATTCTTTTATTTTTCTCCATCAAAACCCTCCCTTTCGGCAGATATTAATTTAGTTTATATTTTTATTTACTTTCCACTGTTTTTTTTTTATAGTTCATCTTAAGTCTAGAGACTTGTAAAGAATATTTGTTTAGTTTTTATTTAGATATGCATGCAATTTAGAATTTATAGCAGTACTACTTGATTCTCCGTTGCATTTAATGGTTTAAATTTTATGTATTCGTCGGAAGCAATTAATTTATACACCATCAAACTATAAAAAGTTCAAAAAATTCATCTAACTAGCCCACTTTAAAGGTAACTTTTTCATGTTTGCCTTCCTAAGTAGAACCAAAACCAAAAACCAAATAATACATTACTACTTATGATTCAAAAAAAAAAAAAAAAATAATGATAATAATAAATTACTTTTGATTCAGTTCAATTCCTACAGTCCCTTTTCTTTTTCGGTTTCAATTTCATTCAATATGACGATTCAGTACGGATAAAACTATATATGATTTTCCTAATGTAAAGAGTTCCACTTATTCCATTAGAGTGAAGGAACTCCAATGAATTTATAAATATCTACAGCTTTTACCAAACCAGGTAGCTTCTGCTACATTTATACCATCCTTCCCCTTCTTTTTGTCATTCCTCCAGGTCTCAAGCCCAACACTTCTAACATCAGATCATTCAAGCATGTCAGGAATCAATGGGACAAAGCAAGTTGCTCCCAACATATGCTGAGACCATCCATTTATTCATTCGACCTCTGTTTTGTAGTATTATATTAGCAACATCTCAAAAAAGGATACTTCCTGTCAAGTTAATATTGCAAAAACAATATTATTATATAAATACAGGAACTAATTAAGAAACTATTAATTAATTACGATTAATACTAACAATAATAAACTAAACAAGAAAAAAAATGACAATTTTCCAAAAGTAGGTAAGCTACACGATACTCTTGAAGAGAACCACACTCACCCAGTTGGAAAATACTTCACAAGTCTTTAGATCAATGAACACATGCATCTTCAACACACACACACACACACACACACACATATATAAAGCAGAGGATAAAGAAGAAATGAAAAAAACTCCACCTGCATAAAGAGCTTCAATGACTTGTGCAATTAAGCAAAATGGAAAAGAGATCGTCAGTGGGCAACTTCAACAGTCTTCATATAACGCAAAAAGTAATTCTTACAACGAAAAAATATAAATCATTCAGCAAATGAAAAGGTTTGTTTTGATGAGCCGTGATGAAACGCAATGCAATCAAATGCATTTTTAGTATAATGTTTACACTAGAAATGCATTTGGTTGTTATATTACATTATGTTTCGTTTGATTACCATATTACACTACGTTCCACTATGCCTCATCAAACAAAGCCTAACATTTTAGAATAATATGGCATAAAACTCCAGCCTGTAACTCAGCACTCTTGGCATCCTAGTAGAACACAAAACATCAAGTAATATGCATTGAATGGCTTTAATCCTTAGGCCTCATCTAGTTGCAGAATGATCAGAATACTTATTCCCTATCTAAATTTGAACTAAATTTGAGAACATCTTTTGACACAAACTAGTTTATTCTACTCCCTCCCTATTCCACGCTATTCACTGAACCAAGCAAGGCTGTGTTAGTATAATTGTCGAGGGTGGGATGGCATGGGGTTGGGTCCAATCCTAGATTTGGATCCTACTTATGGAAAATGGTATATGGATCCACAAATCAAAATATTTGATAAAGCATATATAATTATGGAAAGTTACAGTAAAATTGACATGATGAGAAAAATAAACAAAAATCTATAGTATGAGTGTATCAGGTAAGTGGGTGATCATGGTAACCTTTACAAGGATTAAACATCAACATTGACTACATACCACATCTGAAAATGATGACATCCAAACATAGAACTGGCCTGGCATCTACACTGGAAGCCTTGTAAAACGTTATCATACATGATGTGCACTAATCCAAAAATAGACATATTCTACAATTGAGTAAGCTGATGTCAATAATTATTTTTTATTGCCACTCAATAACAAACTTTTATCCACACCATTGGCTGTTTCTTCGGGGCAAACCTGTTCCTTGGCCATCACAGGTGGACTTGTTACAGACCCGTGAACCTGTCAATTCATTTCTACCAAGCTTATGATTTGAAAGAGAAACATATTGGGAAATATTGAATTAAAGAAAAAAGTGACATGTTTACCGCAGTGTGAGACTTAAGCGAAAAAGCATCGTTAACAGGCAACACAGAAGAGTCTGAAGGTCTGTGGAACAGCAAGTGAGCTATAGATCGATCTATGGGATTTGTATCAGTTTCCATATCGAGGAAGCCAGTGCCCCTGAATAAGCCAACCATTAAAATCAGAGACACAGAGAGAAGAGAGAATTAAGAAGAAAATGGCTGAAAAAAATAAAGAATGGAGTGAGCAGGGACCATACCTATTTGTTTCTTCAGCCATCAATGGACCACCCGAGTCTCTATCATCTCTCTTACCACCACTTCCATTCACACAATTATGCCTCTGTTCAGCACTCCTAGCCAAGCGATACAGACTGTCTCTTATGCACAGCTTTGTCCTAATATCCAACTGAATTCAAGAATGTTCAGCCCACTAAAACGCAATCAATGCTAAACATACGAAAGGAAAAAAGAAAAGTAACTAGCATCATGTTTCATTTTAGTTTACTTTAGAAGTCTAACTCCTTAAAGAATTAGGACTAAGGTTGGAATTCCTCTACCTTCAAGTTTTAGGATTAGATATAAGCCTTATTAAAACGCATGCTTGTAATGCCTTATTATTAGATATAAGCCTTTCATCCATTTATTTTTTATCTTTTTTTTTTTTTTTAATTTTTGAGTTGTGTGATTCAGTTCTAATGTTAGAAGGTGTGATGCTTTCTCGACAGGAGTGAGTCAAAACATCCTACTTGTGTGATATTGGTAATATATTTTTTGTTTACTTAATTTTTCCTCTATTACTCTGAAGAAACCTGCCAAGTTAATTCTTAATACCTATTTCTTGATTTCTGCAAACCCTAGCCCTAATCTCCTAAAAGTTCATCCTAAGCTATCCTATGTCACTTTTTTCAGTATGTTTTCTATCTAAATATTATATTATAATATCATATGTAAAATTCAACTGATTGATCCTTTTCTTCTTTGAAAACAGAATGACAGCTATTGGTAAGTTCAGACTGATCTTGATAATTATCATACCAATTAGCCACAAATGCATATCCAAGATTTATGTTATATAGTTCTAATGTTGTTGATAGAAAAATATTGTAGTTGTATTTCTTGTGTCTCATCAATCGATTACATAGGTCTATATATAAGGAATTCCTATGCTACCTAGCTATTTGTGTCTCATCAATCGATTACATAGGTCTATATATAAAGGAATTCCTAATGCTTTACCTAGCTATTTAGGAATTTACAAATCATAAACTAATTAGGAATTCTAACTCCTAATAGAACTCTATTTACAACTAATCCTTATACAGTCCCCCTCAAGTTGGAGCAAGATGTTTAATCATGCTCCAACCTTGTTACAAACTTACTTACTTCAGCAAAGCACATACCATGCTCAGCAAACTGTACCCACTTCATCTATAGCAAGTATAGAATCCCAAACCAGAATAGTAGCAGTAGAATTTAAGACAACACACTTTAAGGTTGTCGAAACAAATCTCATCTGAACCAGAAAAACAAACTTCACAGGCCTGTTCAAAGGCTTCCATAATCAATTGCCTCAGAGAGGAAGCCCAGTCCGCATATATTCAGAAACGCAGCAAAAGGAAAATTTGGTCAAACGGAGCACACCATGAAGGCCAAGAACACCATGCAACTCAATGGGGTTGCACTGCTTTCTACAAAGAGAGAAGGTTCAAAAGCAGAATACCTGTAACTTTATAAGCCCTAAGAATGACAATGCAACCTCACTGGGTTGCATGTCTTCTTCCTTTAAGTTCGAATACCGTGAGAAGAGGAACCGAGTGAAAAAAGAACCACTTGACATGCGCCAGCGGCAGTGAACCAGAGCAGGGAAGAAAGAGGTGGGAGTGGTGGCCATCGCTTGGATCGGTCGACCGGATCTAGGGAGTCGCTAATCGGCTGGCTGGAGAAATCCTGGTGTGGGCGGTCAGGCGAAAATACTAACCCTAGAAAGCTTCTAGGGTGGCGTGGCTTCTTCGTAAGGAAGTTTGGGATAATTTCCTTTTTTTTTTTTTTTTTTTTTTTTTTGTTTTTGTGAATGGAAGGCTCTTGATACCATGGTTGAGAGATATATTGTAATGTATTTCTTGTGTCTCATCAATCGATACCTAGGTCTATATATTAATGGAATTTCCATATTGTAGCCTAGCTATTAGGAATACAAATCATAAACTTAATTGGAAATCTAACTCCTAATAGAACTTCTATGTACAATTAATCCTTAACGCAAATGTCAGTATGGTATATCCTAAGATTTATGATTAGTAGATTCATATAGGACAATATTCACCAATTTAGTTTGTTCTTCGGAATTCAAATCAAGATTTCCAAGAGTGAGTAAACGATTGGTTTTAAGCTTAATTAACACATGCCCCTAGTTGGCAAAAATGTCTATATATATTTACTGTTACAAAAGCATCATTTTAACTTATTATTTTGTCCCTCTCTTCCCTTCATCCACTCCTTGACCTAATGTGCTTCTTTTCACCAACATTGTTTCCAGGGCGTATCTGAGCCTTATAGAAAATATTGTGTCCATTTTTCAAATGAAATTGGAATCAAGTAATATTTTCTTGCTGGGGTATCTAAAGAAGCATTTCGGTTTTCTATCAAAGAAGAGCAAGACACCAATCTTGTTGGCTTAAAGTGTTCTATGGTTGAAAGATGTGAAACACAAGTTTTTGGATTCCAAAAAAACTTTCCCTAACCTTTTCACCTTAATCTCCTTCTTTTTCCTTTTTTGTGGTTTTTTTTGTTGTTT